CTCCTATCCTCTTGCCAGGCCTCTTTATTTAGTCAATGATCATACAGAAAGAAAATGGTAACCCTGAGCTTTACAGTGTCGCATTTCCATCACCCTTCAGTTGCAGAGATGAGAACATTTAATATCATCACTCAACATTTCCTAAATGTTGAGGAAGTTTTGACTCTGAGTGAGTGGTGTGTTAAAGGTTAAAATATCAGGTCAGGTTAGGGTTCACTTTCTAGGAGATCCGTATAGTAAAATATCAGAACAATAATTCAAAATGCCTAATTTGTAGTACTTCAGATTGTTTTTGCTATAATAATATCATTTGAAGGAAAGTGGTGTAATGATGTCTGCATGGTTTGACACCAGCAAAGGTGAGTGAAGCTTTTTGGGGGTGGCCTGACGCTTTAAAACACCACCAACAATCCTTGTGTGCAGATCACTCACCAGCTGAAGCATCATGGACACACTCTCCCATGTGGCGAGGCGAATGTTGTCTCCTCCATCCACCAAGCCCTGGTAGCCCTGCAAAACACACAGCACAAGAGTCACAGACTAATTTGAACCCCAAGGTTAATATTTTAATGCTTTTTTTCATATTCTAACTGTAGTTTTCCTTCATAATATTTATTTTCTTTTGAATACTCTGTCTTAAATTTGAATTAAAATACTCTCTTGCTCATGGTTTGCATCATTACACAAAATCATTTTCCTTTTAAGGTTAAGCCTACTTGGCAATAAACTGGATTCTGATATAATAGAAACATTTGCAATAGAGAATTGGTAAACATATAAAGAATATGTTTCTTTTAAAACAATGCTCTGCCACCTTTTTTTCATAACATCAATAACGCACAAATTAATTAAGAATTCTTTAGTTATTTGTATTTACTCCCCGTACCTCATGAACAAAGTAGACCTTTGCTCCGGTGTAGAGCCCAACTCTGACTGTGGCTCTCACAGCAGCGTTCATACCTGAGACACAAAGGACACAAAGGACATGAAATGAGTCTCATTCACTCTCACTCTTATTATAGCATAATGACAGACTCTGCTTAACACTTCCTGTCAGATTTCAGCTTGAGACTCAACCTTTAAGAGAATGGCACATTGGCACTAGATGAGACAAAAATAGTCACATGTAAAGGACAGAGTGAGTTCCTCTAGATGGGCAGCACACTAAAGGCCACTGCATGAGCTTGTGTTGTGACAGGATGGCATGTTGCAGCTCTTGTTTCAGCAGACAGCAGCTGTGGATGGGGGCGTTTCTCTCCTTAATACCAGAAAAAGGTCAACTCCACTAAATTTAGCCCCGAAGAAGTGAAATCAGGGAACGGTTGGGCACATCATTATTGGTTAGACTCAGGTTTGAAGAGCGGGAAAATTAGATTCTGAGAACTTTCAACTTTAAGTGGAGTAATTTTCTGCAGCTGCTTAATGTCAGTTTTTTAGGTTTAGAAGCCCCTGCCTGAACTATAGGGATGTCAAGAAATATCAGTGAACCACCATTCCACCAATCCAATAATCAATTCAATCAAAAGTACTATGGGCACTTGTAAATGTCTATAACTATGTAAATGTATAATGTCCTTTATTGTTTTATGTTTCATGTGGAACCTATATGCTGCAGGTCTCCCTTGAAAAAGAGATCTATGATCTCAATGGTACCAATCTCGTTAAATAAAGGTTTGAAATGAAATGAAAAGACATGTTAAGTCTCAACAAGAGTTTCTCAACAAGATATCATGCAAAAGCATCACTTTAAAACGTGTGTTTACCAGAGATGTGCTCATGAGTTTATTTGAAATACATTTGTTGCAGTATAAAAAGATGACAAATACATTAATTATTTTTGGTAGATAGTTTGACAAAGAGTAAGCAGGCCTATCTCAAAATTGATTTCTAAAGCTTATGCACTTTATCTGCTGCACATTTTATTTTGTGCTTTGCCTATCACTTGTAAGGACATTTGAAGTTTTCCTGGATACACTACAGGTGTTTTGAATCAGAGAGACTCCGACAGCTGGCCTTCAACCGTAACACTTCCTGGAAGAAATGTTGCTTGCCCTTTCTGTTATTTGGCTCCTGGATTTACTTTGGATGTCATGCAAAGAACTAGACATGATACTTCAGTGGCTGCGGCAAGATCAAAAGTTTGGTTGGGATTCAGCAGCGAAGCCAGAGTTCACACCCTCTGACTCGTATTGTGTTGCAACAGTTTATTCAAAACCATCTTAAAATGAATGACTCATCCTTTGCTTACCTTGTGCGTCTCCTCCTGACGTCAGCACGGCGATGGAGCGTCCGAGCCCCATCTTTGTGGGGTCCAGGGTGGGATGGAGATCACTGGACATGTTGCCAGAGGATGGGCACGACAAAGGGAAAAGAAAAGGAGAAAGAACAAAGCTGTTCTCTCTTCTGCTCCTCAGGGGAGGCACGAGTAAAGGCACAGGCTTTATAGACTGCTGCTGCCCGAGCCCCCTCCCACTGACTCCCTTACCCCCTCTCTTACAGCTCTCCTAAATATACTTCAGGCCCACTAACACCTGCAGCGGACAGTTACAGACAGTGGGACACAATGGCACATAGCACTCACATTTTGAATGCGTTTCAAATTAATTTTTTCAAATAATGTGTACAAAGCAACAAAGTAATGAAAAGGATTTTGAACTTATTTTGACACTTCAACATATGAAATGTATGTAGGACTGTCGCTCCCAAAAATCTCCCCAAACTTATGTCTGTATTATATTTGTATACATTTCTTTATGCATTTATTGGAAAACGCTGTCATTCAAAGTGTGAACATATTGGTACATCATAGTTCATTTGTTTGGGGTTTTTAATATTACGCCACAACCATTTGTTTTTTTATTAATCTCTCCGAACTTCATTTATGACGTTTGATATTTAATAACCTCAATAGAAACTGCCTGTCAGAACCGAGCTGATTCAGCAGCAGGATGTGTTTCACATACCGTCATTACCATCTTCTCTGTTAACAGGATACCGTGTCGCATGGTGTTGAAATGTGCACCTTGTTTCCAGAACAAGGCTTTAACATCTGCCCCAGAGGCAGCATGGTGAATGCAAGTCAACCTGATGTATCTGGTTTCATTCTTTTCAGGATGTGTGACTTTTATTTAGTCTATTGTTTATTCATTAAATGAACGTTTTTTTCATGCAGCTGTGTTAGTCAGGACTCCCTTGTCAAAGATATTATTGAATCTCAATGGTCACAATTCTGGTCAAATAAAAAAGGTATAAAACAGTCTTTCCTTGAACAGTCCAAAATGTTCAATTTACTAAGGGGAGAGAAGAGCAGCAATATGTGATATTTGAGCACGTTCAATAAACAAATATTTGATACTTTTCCTTCACAAATTACTTTTTAAGTTCTTGATTATCAAATTGTTGACAATTAACTTTCTGTGGATCGAACAAATTGTTAAATCGTTCAGCACTGAAGCTAACAATATCATGGAAATGTATCATAGTCTACTTTAAGCATAAATAGGTCACTGTAACTTTGATTTTCTACTAAATGTTCTCAAGCTTTCAACAGACAGGGTGTCGCCTTGACCATTGTCAGGGAAATTACCATATGGATGGAAGGTAATGTGATCACCATGTATGCATTAATACCGTCTAGCCACCAATCTTCAATAGCCTGTAATATAGAATTTGATTGGCTAAGACCTTCTCTTTCCTGTGTCTCTTCCTGTATAACGCACTTGCCTTTCTGTTGTAACCTTGTCAGATCTTGTACTACATTGCTAATGTAACTCTTAATTAAATAAAACAACTTGGTTTAAACTTGTAGATGTGTTAATTTCTTAATAGAAGGTGATTACGTTGTAGGTGTGTTAATTTCTTAATAGAAATAGATTAAGTATGGATTGTAGGAGCCATGAAACGTGTTAAGTAATCCTTTATGTTTTTATATAAGATATTTGTTTGAGCACTATTGATTGGTTGGCTTGGGTCACATGGATATGGGCGGCACTCATTATAATCCTGTTCACCTGCGTGAGGTGTGGGTGGAAGAGAGGGTGACACAGGGCTGTTGTACTTTTTTGTTGACCGCAAGTTGAAATGATTGCTTCGAAGCATCCTGAATGTGGGGGGGACATTTAATGGCAAGAAATAAACTATTAAAGGACAAACATGAACTGGAGGAAGAGGAGGAGCAAACTTCAGATGGAGGAGGAACGAATAAGGAGGAGAAAGGAGCAACTTCAGATGGAGGAGGATATTGCAGCACACATGGCTAAATTAAATGTGTTGCAAACACGGAGCGTCCTAAGTGGGAAAAGTTCAGAAACAAAGCCTTCGGATGGAATGAACTCATATTGAACAAAGAAACCTTAAACCACAAGTCCTCTACACTGCCAAGGACAATATAAATACTCCACAAATGTTGCTAAACCAAAGGGAGGCTAGCAATGACTACTTGGACCCAACAACACGGCCTAATGAGAACATTTCACCTTGGTTCCATTCCTCAGAGCCAGTATCCCATACAAAAAAAATCCAATTTGAAAACACAAATGAATTATGGAGATAGTTTGAACGCAAATGAAGATCAAAACAACATACTGGGCATTATGAGAAAATGAAATAACCACACTGTTAATACAACAGCAATGCCTTTCATCCTTGCCAAAGAGAGAGATTCCAGTTTTTGATGGTGACCCGTTCAAATATCACACATTTATGAAGGCTTTTGAGAATGGTGTTGAGAAAAACACAAACAGCTACAGTGACCGACTCTATTCCTGCTGTCGCTATATGGATTTCCAGCACAAACTATTTAGTGTTTTTAGAAATGTAACCGTTGTTCGACCTCAACTGCCTGATAAATGTCAACAGTTTACAAATTCTGTGCAGAAAGTTTGTAAAAGCTCCTTCAGAAAGGTGCACGACATTATACAAGTGTAGGATTTAGACGAATGATTGTGACACCCCATTAAATAATTTTAAGAGCTGAAAAAAAAAATGCAAATACAACATGGTCAGACAGTTACATATACATTTATTATAAACACTGTACATAAAGAAAACACAAATAACTCTAGTGTGACGCTCTGAGGCATTCTAATCTATCTGTATACAAAAGCTTTAACACTGATTATGTCTTTAATTACCTTTTTTATTTTTATTTTTTTATTTTTTTTTTTAAATGAGTCCCTACTGTTTAAAATATGCATCATTTAACAGAGTATTTTTCTTTTCTTAGGAAAGCATTTCATGAGCTCAGTCATAAAGATTCAAAAACAAAAAGGTATCTCACACAATGTAACTAGCAGCGTTCTTTAGACTTTAGTTAAGGCTGACAACAACAGTGTGGGGACCAATCAGTTCCATTTAAAAAGTATTATTAGTACTCCAGAGGGACCTTATCCCCTCCGGATATTACCAGTGACACAAATACTGTACTTGTAGTGCAAAGTCATCTCTCCTGCAGCGCGGAGCTGCTCGGAGAGGAACAGCCGGACAACAGATCAAAGCCGATTGGAACAAATGTCTGGAAAACAAAAAATAAAACACGTGCAAATTAAATGGTGTCTCTGTGCGCACATACAGGGAATGTTTAATGTGTTTTCAAGGGTCATATGTTGCAAATTAAATAACTTGAATAATAACTTGTCAGATTGTAGCTCTACAATGTGTTGGAGCATTTTGTGTTGTCAAATAAAGGATTTGTTCAATATTTTCTGAATATGTTTATTATATTTCTTGCTTTCTAAGAGTGTGAATACTTTTTATAAGCAGTGTACATGTGAATGTTCTAAATACTTAAACCATGCTTAGATTTGGTCTGTGGTGTGGACCTGGGATATAGCATCAGTCTGCCTCAGCCTTCGCTGTAAGCATGGTTGTCTAATTCTCAATGTCATCATCGTAATATATGCGGTTTTATTACACATTAATAACTGCATAGGAATGAATAATTTAATCAGTTTAAATAGGACATTTTGCACATCATGTTTTTATCTGGTGACCTAGGCTGAATATTTGTCATTTTAAACACTTGGTTGACTAAAAACCTATTGATTGTTTAAAAGAATTTCAATTTGAAAACGAATATATTTGTCATTTCATTTAATATTGCAACGCTTCGTTAATACTTCTGTTCTGTAAATGCACAGTGTGTGTACTCACAAAGGAATCTTGGAAGTGCAGTGTGTAGGCCAGGGGGTTCCCACAGCGGGGCCGGGGGGGGAGGAGGCAGGGAGCGTTAGGGACGGAACAGTAGGAGGCCACCTCCGCGTCCATACGCAGCTCCTCCAGAGCAAGAAGACGCTTCCGCAGCAGCGCCACGGCTGAACTCGGAGTAGAAAGCTTCTGGGATATGAGGTCTATAATAGAAGAAATGAAACCTTAAAATATATTCACAGTCAGTCAGGAAAGATGTAGACTTTGAGGTGTGAGTGTTACCTTTGTGCAGACTTTGCGCAGGGTTGATCTGACAGGCAGACACAGGCCTCGTCTCTTCATGTACGGGCAGCACCGGGCCATGCTCGTCCTGACGGACGGAGTTCTCCTGCTTCTCAAAACGTGGAGCTCTTAGCAACGTTTTGCCCGTCGAGAAAAAAATGACAGACTCTCTCTGCGGTGCTTGGAAGAACGGCTGTCCTCCCACAATCCTCTGCTCCTCCTCTTCATCCTTGTCGGTGCCGACCCCGCTCGCTTCGACCTTTACTTCATGGTGCGCTTTAGCCTAGAGGAGTGAGGGTTGACACCAAACACCAACAGACATTTAACAATACATCTTAAATAAATAACAAGAACATCACTTTTTATTTTGTGTTCACTTCTTACAGTTGCGTTTTGAGTCGGGAGCTGCTCTGCTGGTTTCCCAGGATGCTCTTCCTCCTGATCATAAAATAATCTCTGCACGATCTCCTGATAACAGACAAAACATTTAAATGAATTATGATACAAAACCTATGATGAGAAGGATGAGGTCAAAAAACTTGAGCTGTTGTTGATTAATTAAATATATAGCTAAATTATTGAAAACTCTTCAAGAAACATTTGGTTTTTTGCCTGAAACTGTATCTGCACACAGATTATGTTTCCCCATTTTGTTTTGCTTCAAGACTTTCAAACGGATTTGTGTAAAGCCCTCTAGACAAATTATGAAATGGACATGACTTTCTGCTCTCACCTCCTTTTGTGGTTTAAGGGTGGAGTTGCAGCGCTGCAGCCCGGGAGTGATGGCGAATGATGACCGATGTGATGACAGAGGCCATTTCTGAAAACAGCAGCATGGTGAGATAAGGGAGAGACTCTGACAACTTAACAAACAGATTTATAATCATACAATATATGTGTAATACTGACCATAGCAGACATGGGCCGATTTCTGGTGCAGGGGACCCTCTGAGGGGTCCATTGCTTCTGCGGAGTCTCTTTGAGTGCTAGAACTGAAGATTAAACAGCAGCGTCACGTCAGGGTAAAAGGACAAAGAGATAAGAAGGTTTCATAAGAAGAACAACGATTCTGCATCTTACCTACTGGTCCCTCGGTTGCCTCCGCACGATTTTTTCTAACCGGCACTCGCTGAGCCTAAGACAGCAGGTGAGGCAGTACGTTAAACTGTGCTTGTCATTCAAAAGCAATGTGATTCGCTTATTTAAAACAAATTGCCAGAGTGAAAACATATTGTATGCAAACCTACATGTATGATTGACGTGCCTCTGCCCGGAGAGACAGGGATTCTGGGTGTGGCCCCCAGAGGCCCTCCAGCCTTCACTCCTTCATTCTGCAGGATACTTTGAAGTGCACCGACGTCTGGGGAGAACTGCACAGACTTCATCAATCCTGGAAGAAGAGCACAAAGAGTCAAGACCGACATGTTGCGGTGTTACATGGAGCTGTCCAGAACTATTTCTTAGTCGGTCTGTAATGAATGTAGAAACAATATTTCCCAGAAACTCAAACTACTTTTCCAATAGGCTTCCAATTTTAAAAAGAGATGTAAGTGCAAATGCAGGCCTTACAGGGTAATAACCAAAAACAAAAACGCATCCCCAAAATAACAAGATATCGCTTTACAATTCTTCGACTAGTTTGGCTGAAAAATATTGATGTGAGGAAAGGGAAAGTGAGGAAACATTTGTGAATGGATTTAACAAACAACTTGTAATCACATACTGTTTATTCAGGTACACATTATGTTTCTGAACTTGTGCTGCTTACCTGAAATGGGTCCTAATTTGTGTCGACTTCTCAAGGTAGACACTCTCTGGGGCTGCAAACAAGAGAATCACCAGCATATTCGTATTTAAACACATTAAAAGAAAAACGATTAAAAATGACTATTCCAAGAAAACGGAATCAAAACCTTAATAGCTACCACATCAGTTAAAGCGTAGGGACCAACACACATCATTTAAAGAGCAATTATAAAATCCACTCACCAGATTGTTATAGAGCTTTGAGTGTGGAGTTGTAGATCCCAGACCTGTGGCACTCAGTCCTTCATCACGGAGGATACTGAGCAGAGCAGCGTGATCCGACTGGAAGTTGTCCCCTTTGTCTAAAATACATAAAGTGTCTGGTTATAATGAGCTATGATTCTAGCTATCCAACTAATAATAAGCTAAAATTGTGTTGTGAGATACATTTGTTTCCATGGAAAAATGCAGTTATTTTTGTCCTCAAAGGGCGAAGTGTTTTTGCAGCAAGACATACATGAGGTCACCTAATAACTGGAAACAGAGTGCATTAACAAATAAGTTTGAAGATGTGCAAATATAGGCTGCAAATATATTGAAATGTATTGTGCACAGAACAAATAAGTATGCTTATGAAAAGACAAACAGGCAACAACACAATCAACTCACCGGTTGAATTTTTGGATAAAGGGTCCTGCGCGGTCAGCTGCATGTTCTGGGTAGCATGGGATGTCTTGGCTGGATCTTTGAGACTGAGCAGGCTCATGTTATCTGAGCAGGCCTCTGCACTAACAGCAGGCTCTGCAGAAGAAGCCTCTTTGCTCTGAGGCACAGCGTTATTAGGAATAGATGATTGAGGTTTAAATAGAGTGGCAGATGTCTGTAATGCGTTATCCTTCGCCTTTCCTTTAAATGTCCCCGTTCCTTTGGTTAAATCTATATTCCGCATTAAGGCAGCCGGATGTTTAGTAGGCTTTGCATTTACGTTTTGGGTTTTAAGATGAGAATTGCATACACTGTTATGAGCATTAGTGCCAGTTCTTGATTGTGACACAGTGCTCTTGGGCTGACAAAAGTTGAAAGGTAACGGCCGGGTGTAAGGCTTTTTCTTCCTCGTTTTCCCCTGTAGAAAAACAACAGTATTAAGAACAAATGCTTTATCTGGTTAAAACATTGAAATATGCAGGACAGGAAGAAGTAACTCACAGCTAGAGGCTTGTCCTCCCACTTATAATTAGATAGGCCGAAGTCGGACGTAGTCTGAAGATGAAGGGACTTGGCAAGCACAGGAAGCCGACTAATACCTGGTCGCAACGCTGCCCTCCGACCCATTTCTGATTTGACTGGATCCTGATTCTCAATATTAAGGTTGGAAAGGTGATGTGCAGAGAAGAGTTTGGAAGGCTTTGGGTGTGCAGGCATTTTGTTATTTTCATTCTTTGTTCTGTGTAAAGAAAACCAGTCAGTTACCAAAATAATAAATGCAATTCGAGTTAGACATTGTTTGAAAAGTTGCAATTTTTACTTTCAGATATATAAATATCTCTTCTGGTTTTTATTCAACAAAACATTTAAAAGTTTGCAAATGTTAAATGAAGAGGTAAGCAGGCATATTTCAGTGAGTGTGGTACTTTCTACCAGCTGCCCCAGACAAAGACAAGAGGTTTTTATTTCTAGCACTAAGAGCAAAGGAAAATAAAGTGAACATATACCTCGTCAACTCACTGCGGATTTTGTTCTGGCTTTGTTGACGAAGGACTGGAGAGGAGTCCATATTGAAAGCAAGGTGTGAGGAGCAACTAGACGAGCAACAAATGGCAAACACAAAAGATCAACAACACTTGAAACACAATAAGGGTTCATGGCAAACTTGCACCAACAGAAACCTTTATTATTATTATCCTTCCAAAGTTTAAAAACATCACATTATCCACTCGGAATTTAAATAGAAAGCATACTAGGTCAGTTTAAGACGAGCAGAAGCCTGAGTGGTTAATGTCTTTTCTCGCTAGCACATGCTAGATGGCCACAGAGCCGTTTAAAGGAGTCGTTACATACTTTACAAGAAGAAATGTCCCGCTGTAACTTCCTTCTGTGCGTCCGAAAAAGTATTCCTGATAGGATTAAGCCCAAAATATATGTTTTAGTCGTTTAGGGCCGGTTTTAAGTTCCCTTGTTTTGTCCCTTTCACAAAGCAGTGGGCTGTCAACTTCCTGAAACCGCAGCAGTTTGTAAAAAGCGCGTTTAGCTATTGGTCGTAAAATAAGGCCGTATCAACCAATGAATGTGCCTACTTAAAGTCATCGCAAAATTGTCGACCAATCAGGAACGCATTTTCATAAACAGCTCCATGGTAACGACGCGAAAGTTGTTTAATCACGTGGTTCCTTTTTGCCGCGGACTGTGTAGAATAAAAAGGTATTGTCCACCAGAGTGGAATAGATTAATGTCGCCAAAACGCAGCCGAAGAGCAACACACATCAGCAACAAGAAGCCACTGCTACGAAAAGCAAATAAAATACATCACAATAAGTACAATTATAATACTTTAAGAAGCATAAAACATTGAAAACATGGCATAATATGGAGCAAGATTTGTCTCGGTTGTCTTTGAGTTTTGTCTGGATATGTTAGTGGTATTAGTGGAGGCAGTTTGTATTATGTATTTTCTTGGTTGACCTATGTATTTTCTTCTCTTTATTTATATTTCAAGGTGTTGTAAATTAGAGTTTACTACAAACACAAATTAACTCAGTGCATCTGGTTCATGTGTTGATCATTTATTTGTATTGTGATTATTTCCAAACCCAAACAAATCTAACTATCAATACTAAAGATACACGACTACACCGCAGTTAGTTTACTCTCAAAGGGTCTCTAGAGGTCAGCGTTTGTCGTGCCATCTTTGGAGTTAGCAGCAGTCTGATATAAGAGTTAGTAGACATTGGATTATGGTTACCTCTCACTTATTTAATGACTGCATTATTTATTTGAATCCCTTGACAAATGGTGAGATGAGGTGACATCAGGCTGACGTTAAAGGGCTAGCAGGTGAGTTACTCTTGCAGTTTGTATGTAAACAAATGTAAAAGACTCAATAAACAATTAATGTTAACTTTTAGGCGTAGCTTTGTTTTAGCTAGTCCTGAAGCTAACAGCTAAAGGCTCATTCGTCATAAATAAACTGACTCAGAGAGCTAACAATGGACCAACAGTTTAAGAAAAAACAAAACTAGCGTCACCATTTATTTTCACATTTCGACTTACCACGCCTCCTAGAGAATTCCAATGTTTAATGTTCAATGTTTTAATTTCTAGTATATCCAGTCCCTGAAGTCAACAGAGGTGGTAAGTAGTAGGCTACATATTGACTCAAGTAGTAGTAGTAGTAGTAGTAGTACTCTGTACTGTACCTTATTGCAATTTGAAAGTATTGAGTATTTATTAATACACGGCATCTATTGCACGTCTGTCCGTCCTGGGAGAGGGATCCCTCCTCTGTTGCTCTCCCTGAGCTTTCTCCCATTTTCCCCTTTAAACTGTGGGTTTTCTCCGGAAGTTTTTCCTTGTACGATGTGAGGGTCTAAGGACAGAGGGTGTCGTATTGTCATACTGATATTCTGTACAAACTGTGAAGTCCACTGAGACAAATGTTACATTTGTGATATTGGGCTATATAAATAAACATTGATTGATTGATTGATTGATTGATTGATTGATTAATACTACTTCATATATAAGGAGCATTTATTTACTTTAATCATATTTTTATCAGAACAAGATATATATGTTTATGATAAAACATGATAACTTGTTTTAAACGAGAGTAGGCTACCATACATATAAGCAGCTTGTCAAAAATGATCTCCACTTGGACCAACTTTATACATCATGAACGTGCTGATTACACATCAATAAAAGTCAATGATAAAGAACATTGCCTACTAAAATAGCATTAAACTATAAAGATAATACATCTGTTTGAAATACACTAAAGTATACTAGTATGTACCAAGTACTTGGACTTGATAATAATTATTCTTTGTTATAATATTTCTTCTTTAAAGGCCCTTTATACTTCTTTCAACATTGGAAGGCAGGATCACAGATCATGTAGTAAACGATCAGACCCTCCCTCTCCCTCACTGAGGGTGAGCGGCCTGCAGGGGTCGCTGCCTGCAGCCCAGCCAGGCACAATGCCCTTCTGACAGCAGCAACACAGTGTGGGTGTCTGCCTGTCAAACCAGAGGCCCTGTGTCAACAGCAGAGGGAAGAAGAAGAGCCGTAGAGGAGGAAACCAGAAAGTAACTGCTGCAGACATGGACCTGCGGTCTGAGCTGCTAAAGTCCATCTGGTACGGTTTCACAGCCCTGGATCTGGAGAAGAGCGGTAAGGTGTCCAAGTCTCAGCTGAAGGTGAGTGTGGGGTCTTCTACCTGAAATATTATACATTTTGTCTCTATAAATTCACTCCCTTTTTCTGTCGGCTACCTAATTTCCTACCTCAGTTTGTACTCCATCACGTGGGCTTACTCTGAGGAGGTTGAGGTGAACATATTTGAAGTGCTTAGCAAACTAAATGTCACAAATGCAAATGTTGTTTGTTACTTTTGTTTCTGTGCTTCAGGAACTAAGTGTGTACCCAACCTGATACTACTTATAACCGTCAATATTTAGAGCGTTTTAATCCTGTCCAACAAGGAACACATTTGTTCTCTATATTTTGAGTAAAATGCTCTCCCTGCTGAAAGAGGGCACAATATGCACCTCTGTCTGGCCAGTGGAGCACCAGAGTAACAGTTTGCTCTCAGTCTGTATATGAATGGGAGCCCTCATCTCCAAGCTGTGCTTTCACTGGGCCTCCATGTACCAGCCTGTAGTGCAAAGGGTCCTCTTGCACTGGACCTGACCAGAGAACAGCAAGTTGAATACACCGAGTATGTATAAAAGAACATTGTTACAGTGAGCGCAAGGACAAAGTGGAAACATGTTGGTTATTGTTGTCCCCTCGCTGCAGGGCGTCAATGAAGTCTCTGTATTTTGTTGGTGTCATTGTTATGTCACTTCTTGGTCTTGCTGTGGGTCAGACTCCATTTCCAGCCGCTGCTGGCTCACAGCTAGTCAGCCTCATGACATGGCTTATCCCCCTCATGCATGCAGCCTGTGTACAGGCACCATGTTCTTTCAAAGCACTCAGAAGCTAGCAGGTTGCATGCCGTGGCCTCAAAACTTACAGATGCTGTACTGCGCTGGAGACTAGAGACAGGATGCGGTTATGGCTCAACGCGCAGTGACTGGTTGCCTGATTAAATGCAACTGATATCTCAAGATGTTGCACGCTCTCACTTATGGAAATGTATCTTAGTAAAGGTTGAAAAAACTACCCTGATTTTGTTCGTTGTTGTTATTTATAACTTATCTTCTGACTTTTCAACATGTCTCATTTATATTGAATTCCTTTTTGGGGGGGATTTTACTATTTTATAATTTCTTTATTTTACTTGACTTTTATATTTTCTATGACCATTTTTCAATCTTATGTCTAGATTCTATATCACAAGTCTCTATTGTTTTATTGTGTTTCTACTTAGTTTGTCAGTCCCCTGTTAAGCACTTTGTGCAGCACTAAGTGTATGAAAGGAAGCTGCTGCAACATTTCTAATTTCATTTGATGAAACCAGATAAAGGTTTTCTTTTTGGCAGTTCAAACATTGATTCATAAAGTGTCTCACTCCAGGCACCCGACCTTTTTCTTTGCACTTATGGGTGCATTCAAAAGTATTTTTAGAAATACGATGCAGCAGAAAGGAAACATTTCAGTTCCTTAAAGATCAAATGTCCATGGTCTCCCTGAATTATCTGAGGGTTTTTACCACACATGTTTTATCCCAGCCAGATTTACATTGTGGAATGTACTGTCGTTTTGGAAATATTGTAATATCCACATACATGGCATTAAAAGCATATCAATTTGTATCTGATTAGCTCTGCATCTCCTTGCTGCAGTGTGTTGTCCTTAAAATCACCCCCCCCCTGTATATTGTTATTTTCCAGGTGCTGTCCCACAATCTGTGCACAGTCTTGTGTATCCCACATGACCCTGTCGCTTTGGAGGATCACTTCAGGGATGATGATGACGGTCCCGTTTCCAGTCAGGGTTACATGCCTTACCTCAACAAATACATCTTGGATAAGGTGTCAAAAACACAGCTACATTTTCCATGTTTTGTTAAATTGCTAAGCTTTGTAGTCAAGGCTGCTGTTATAGTCTTTTTAATCTCTGCATGTTGTTGTTGTTGTAGGTTATTGAAGGCTCTTTTACTAAGGAAAACGTAGATGAACTCTGTTGGACTCTTACGGCAAAGAAGAACTACCAGACGGACAAAACCAGCAGCACAGTTCTGCCAGAGAGGGATGCTTTTCGGCTTTGGTGCCTTTTTAATTTTCTCTCTGAGGACAAGTACCCTTTGGTTATGGTTCCTGATGAGGTAGGTTCAACTGGAATAAGATTTAAAGAATCACAAAACAAACACTTTAAATAATATGTTTTTTAAAGAAGCATTTTTGGTCTGTAAAGAGTATTTAATTGTTTAAGACTGTATACAAAAACAAATATGCACATCTTCATCATCGTCAGGCGATGGTGGCTACATTTTAATGATAGTGACAATTGTTTCTAAATCTAGCCAATTAGATACTCTCAAGTTATCGTGCTTTGTTTTTGAGTACAATTCAGAGAATGGAGTCAGTCATCTTTTTCCTAAAAGTGTTGTTGGGTCTTTTACAACCACTAAATACACCCTGCCTGAAACTTTGTGTTTTGCCTCATGGAACGCGGCGCTCTTTTTATGCAGCAGTGTGGGCTTGTTTCTCACTTGCATGTCGTTTTGGTTTCCTGTCGTGTGTTTTTCACTGTCGCTGCCAAGACAAAACCCTCCATTTCAAGTAGTTTCTATCATGAGTTTAAGAAAAGATTATCCAGTTTATTTTAGTATGTGCTACAAACACCAACCACTGTGCAAACAAATCTGTGGTGCAGTGTCGTAAATACTATTGCTGAAGAACATTTAGCTAAGAATAAACATGAGTAAAAGTTACCCTTAAGAGAGGTCAATGTTGGATGTGATTTGTAATGTTGTGTTTATGTTGAATATTTGACACTACACTTAACGTAAAACCAGACTGCTCTTATCTGCTATTGAACGAATAGCATGAATAGCTCTCAGGCTGTTATACAGTGAGGACAGGTAATTTAAATGAGCCAACATAATTCTCACTCTCGAGACCTTTGGTTTCTTTTCCTCTCCAGGTGGAGTACCTCCTCAAGAAGATATGCATGTCTATGAGTATCGAATTCAACTGTGTTGAATTAGAAGACTTCTTCTCCCAGGACTCAGTGCAGCAGACCGGCATCACTGTGTGGGTTTTTCTGGAGATGATGAACTCGGGAAAGTTAACCAGAGGAATCGATAAGAGCATAACCAGTATGGCCATAGAGGAAGTTTACAGGGAGATAGTTGGTGATGTCCTCAAAGAGGTAGGAGACCTATCAGATGTCTGTGTTTGGGTTCGTGCTCTGCATTATGTTGCTTACAGACAGTATATGTGTGTCGGGGTGCAGGGTTATCTGTGGAAGAAAGGCCAGCTGAGGAGAAACTGGAAGGAGCGCTGGTTCACTTTGAGGCCGAGCAGCTTGTCCTACTACACCGGGGAGGACCGCAAGGACTGCCAGGGAAACATAGTCCTGGATGGGAACTGCTGTGTGGAGGTAAGCAGCTGGAGGGGATCCTCTTTCAAGGCTAAACATTGTCAACACTGGTTAACTCAGGCTTCTTGAGTACTGCATTCATTGTTAGGGTTAGGGTTAGTGTATCCAGAAAAGAGATACATACTGCTCCTTGGCTTTCTTTGTACATGTGAGTGAAATATCATTTTTTTAAGCCAGAGGGTGAGAAGTGTTGCAAGATGAGGGTGCAAGTGACCACAAGATGGTTTACTGTTTTATTTTTAGAACTTTCCACATCCTTCTTGTAAATAACTGTTAAATGTTATGGCTTCAGCATGTAAGAAAATGATTCAAATAAATAACTTGTTGCTCACACTGCTCACAGTCAGTAGACCAGAAGGCAGAATTGTATGTTTCAGTTTAATAAAAAAAGGGCTATTGTATTTGAAAGCTTTTCTAAATTATGAGATGGACTGCAATACATTCTTTACTATATCTTAAAGTAATGTACAACTTTGACATATTTAACTTAAAGGTGGGGTAGGTAAGTTTGAGAAACCGGCTCGAGATACACTTTTTGTTATATTCCATGGAATGCTCTTAACATCCCGATAGCAATGAATATCTTAAGTGCTTTGACAAAAAATCCATAAAAAATGTCATCATGTGGAAGCCGTAGTACTGTAAAAAGCACGACCAATCATTTTAGCCGGCCCGGCTAAATTAACTGGATGACCTACCTGCCTGTCAGCCTTCCATCTGTGCGCAAACTTATCTCATGCCCTCATTGGTCATGTGCGCATTCGTGTGTGTTGGAGGAGGGGCTCTGTAAGGAAGTGGCAGATTTGTTCTGGCTGTGTATTTTCAAATTCTAGCGCACTGGAGCTGGTTTCTCCAAAATTACCTACCCCATCTTTAAAGTGTAAAAAGTATTTCAAATGAAGTACTCCAATTTAAACTTCACTAAATTTCTCCATTCATTTAGATCTGAAAAACAAAGATTTGTTATGCTTTTTAATCTAAATATTCTCTTTGGTGTTTTAACCTACCTAAACCACACTGCAACTTGACTGCAAACATTTTGTCGTAGATTTTGTTGTGTAGTAGTGTCATGCAGAGACAGGTAGCGTGCTACAGAGGTCTGGTAACCTCACTTCCTCCGCTCTAACCAATTATCAGATTTCAGGCAGCTCTCTCTCTCTTGAGCCACAGACACCTTTATACACATGTTCCCCTTCATCATGTTGACTTATTTTATAAACAATTTATTCATAACTTCAGTTATCATAATGCTTTCTTTTAAGATTCTGATTAAAGTGAAGGAGGGAGGTGCGGTAGAATATTGACAAGTGATGTGACAGTCTTCCGCTAAGGTCCCCATTCTCCCTTGCAAAACATTTAACCACCTTTCCTTTACCAAGGAGAACATTCCAAACCTCCCCCTTTCACTTAAAGGTGGGGTAGGTAAGTTTGAGAAACCGGCTCGAGATACACTTTTTGTTATATTCCATGGAATGCTCTTAACATCCCGATAGCAATGAATATCTTAAGTGCTTTGACAAAAAATCCATAAAAAATGTCATCATGTGGAAGCCGTAGTACTGTAAAAAGCACGACCAATCATTTTAGCCGGCCCGGCTAAATTAACTGGATGACCTACCTGCCTGTCAGCCTTCCATCTGTGCGCAAACTTATCTCATGCCCTCATTGGTCATGTGCGCATTCGTGTGTGTTGGAGGAGGGGCTCTGTAAGGAAGTGGCAGATTTGTTCTGGCTGTGTATTTTCAAATTCTAGCGCACTGGAGCTGGTTTCTCCAAAATTACCTACCCCACCTTTAACATAACAAAAAAAAAAAATTATGAAAGTTGTCTCAATTATTATTTCGTCAAAAATCCCAACTGAACTACAGATAACTATCCTCACTATAATGAAATAAGGGATTGTTACCTGGGCCTCTGACATGACCACCAAGTTAATTATTAGCTCATCAATGTCACACAGTAGCAGCCTGAGTTATGTCAAACCAGGTCAAGTTCTGCTAAACAAGCATTCATTCTAAAACCATGCTTTATTATAGGTAGTAGGTGATGAAATAGTGTTTGGTCCTTCAGAATGGATCAAAAACGCCCTTTTCCCTGTGAGTTTACCATTTTTCTACTAACAACTGTTTGTTTAAGAAATGGTCACAACAAATGTTAAAAGAGAAATGAAGAAGGGATATTATATTAATTGGAATCAATGTTTTTTTTGTCAAACAGGTGCTACCAGACCGGGATGGGAAGAGGTGCATGTTCTGTCTAAAAACACTCTCCAAGACTTATGAGATGAGCGCATCCGACACCAAACAGAGACAGGAGTGGACTACAGGTCAGACAGAACTCATATTATCTGATACTAATCCCTGATAGCTCATGGATCATTCTGAAAAGCTTCCTCTTCCTATAGAGACATTAAACATGATCTTCTTCACAGCTATTCAAACAGCTATCAGGCTGCATGTGGAGGGGAAAACGTCCCTCCACAAAGATTTGAAGTTGAAGCGGCGTGAACAGCGGGAGCAGCGGGACAAGAGATGCCACGCCAAAGAGGAGGAGCTGCAGAGGCTGCGGGCCCTGCAGGAAGAGCGGGAGCGGGGGCTGGTCGAGCTAGATCTCCTCAAGGAGGCGCAAAAGCAGGCTCAGGCCCTCCTGGAGCAGGACGAGCAGCGGAGGCGGCAGCAGCACGAACAGATGCAGCGGGCCCTGGAGGTCCAGCTAAAGGAGGCCGAGGAGGTGAGTGTGGAGAACAAAAATATTTTGAAATCAGAAGCAAATTTATGTGAGTTTTTATTACTTTGCTTCTTGCTGTGCGTGTCAAGGCTCGGGTCAGTATGCAGGCTGAGATGGTTCTGAAGGAGGAGGAGGCCGAGAGGCAGAGGAAGAGGATCCAGGAGCTGGAGGAGATGCAGAAGCGTCTGGAGGAGGCGCTGCAGCTGGAGATCAAGGCCAGGCGGGATGAGGAGGTCTTCCGCTACGCTCAAGCAGGGTTGAGTGTTATATTTAGCGACACTAACACACTCTTTCTCAGCACAATAAGAAGTCATTTGTTTAGGTTAACAGCTTGTAAACAATCATCAGTCACTTGTAAGAGGGAGGTGTTGTGTGCCGACAGCAGGTTTTAAGCTCAGCTGTTGAAGGAGATTATGTTGCGTTATGTTCCTGAGGAAGTTGAACTGCCGGCAGAGGAAGTTGTTTAACGCTGCTATCAGTCAGATCTATTGTATCACTGTTTTTGTGCTATCTCAAAGTTTTCAAGTAAAAGTTTCTGATGATCCCACGAATCTGCAAACAGCTTGCAGCAGGCTCTCTGTGCATCAAGGAATGGTGCTACCACAGAACATTTATAAATATGTACCTTAATGAGTGAAATAATATCATCAATGTCAATAATGTCATTTATCCTATATTATTTACAATAAAAATGTTGGCATCAAATTATTAATCAAATGTTTAGTTGAGCTTTGCACTATGATGTCAATCAATCAACGATGAGTGTACAGTTGAATGCACTGCCCACTTTGAATGACAGACCCCTCATTTGCATAATAAAGAAATGCATAAAGAAAATAATACAGAACAAAATTAGTCTGTGGAAATAAAATAGTGGGAAAGAATACAAATGGAAAAATACAGAAATAAATACATTTCAAAATGAATAAATACACCAAAGATATTAATGAATGAATGCCTACATTTAATTTAACTGTTATCACATCAGTTAATGGCATGTTTTTTTATTTGTTGACACTTCAATTATTTTTGTTTATATTCTGGCAGTTTCTGTCCTCTATATCAGTCGTCTTTGATTGTTAATGCTTCACACTGTCTTGTGTACAATAATGTTATTGTTTGTGTCCTCTGTTGTTTCCAGGTTACTGGCCGAGGAGGAAGAGAAAATGAAGGCCCTGATGTGCCTGCAGGAGGAACAGGAGGAGTACATCCTGAAGACCCAGAGGGAGAAGCAGGAGCTGAGACAGGAAATGGAGGTTAAGTCCCGGTCCCTGGATGAGGCTCAGAGGCAGCTGGAAGAGGTGCGGGCCAACCGGCACAAAGTGGACCAGGATGTCGTGGTAAGAATACAAAAATAAAAACCCTTAGAGGTTAATAATAAAATCAACCAAATATCAAAACTACACTGAACAAAAATATAAACGCAACACTTTTGTTTTTGCTCCCATTTTTCATGAGATGAACTCAAAAATCTAAAACATTTTCTATATACACAAAATAACCATTTCTCTCAAATATTGTTCACAAATCTGAAAAAATCTGTGATAGTGAGCACTTCTCCTTTGCCCAGATAATCCATCCCACCTCACAGGTGTGGCATATCAAGATGCTGATTAGACAGCATGATTATTGCACAGGTGTGCCTTAGGCTGGCCACAATAAAAGGCCACTCTGAAACGTGCATTTTTGCTTTATTGGGGGGGTCTGGGGGGGTCCGAAAACCAGTCAGTATCTGGTGTGAGGGGTAGGGTTAGAGTTAGGGTTAGGGTAATGTTGTGAATCGAGTGACCTGTGTTCGTCGTCCATAACATACGCCTGCCCATACCATAACCCCACCACTACCATGGGCCACTCGATTCACAACATTGACATCAGAAAACCGCTCACCCACACGACGCCACACACGCTGTCTGCCATCTGCCCTGAACAGTGAAAACCGGGATTCATCCGTGAAGAGAACACCTCTCCAACGTGCCAGACGCCATCGAATGTGAGCATTTGCCCACTCAAGTCGGTTACGACGACGAACCGAAGTCAGGTCGAGACCCCGATGAGGACGACGAGCATGCAGATGAGCTTCACTGAGACGGTTTCTGACAGTTTGTGCAGAAATTCTTTGGTTATGCAAACCGATTGTTGCAGCAGCTGTCCGAGTGGCTGGTCTCAGACGATCTTGGAGGTGAACATGCTGGATGTGGAGGTCCTGGGCTGGTGTGGTTACACGTGGTCTGCGGTTGTGAGGCCGGTTGGATGTACTGCCAAATTCTCTGAAACGCCTTTGGAGACGGCTTATGGTAGAGAAATGAACATTCAATTCACAGGCAACAGCTCTGGTGGACATTCCTGCTGTCAGCATGCCAATTGCACGCTCCCTCAAAACTTGCGACATCTGTGGCATTGTGCTGTGTGATAAAACTGAACATTTTAGAGTGGCCTTTTATTGTGGCCAGCCTAAGGCACACCTGTGCAATAATCATGCTGTCTAATCAGCATCTTGATATGCCACACCTGTGAGGTGGGATGGATTATCTGGGCAAAGGAGAAGTGCTCACTATCACAGATTTTTTCAGATTTGTGAACAATATTTGAGAGAAATGGTTATTTTGTGTATATAGAATTTTTTTTAGATCTTTGAGTTCATCTCATGAAAAATGGGAGCAAAAACAAAAGTGTTGCGTTTATATTTTTGTTCAGTGTACATTTAAGTTAATGATCTATCTTAGAGGGAATATAGCTTGTTTAGGATCTGGTTTGATACTTGAGTAAAACATTGAACCAACAGCAGCAGCTGCTCTCTTGTCTGTCCTTCAAAACCATTAAATGATTTGAAAGTCCAATCAGACATAATTATAGTCTTTGGAGACTTTATATGACTCATTTTATGAATTGTACTTGACGATGGTATCGGTAGCTACATCTTTCTGCTTATCTCACTTAAGAGAGCCAGTATTTTAAACACCTTGTATTCTGTCAATATGTTTTTCTTTAACGTGAGAGAACATTGTGTCCTTAAAGCTAAATGATTCCAATAGCTGATATTTATAAATCAGTTATATATGCTGCTAATGCTAACAGCAGTTTAGTTAATTATTGCTTGCAGGTATTGTGCATTTTAATAAGCTGCTCTTTTTCTGTGACAGGCTGCCCAGAAGAAACTCCGCCAGGCGAGCACCAACGTCAAACACTGGAACGTCCAGATGAACAGACTGATGCGACCCATCGGACCAGGCGGTACGTGTCCCATGGTGCAATGGGTGACATGACCAACAAGCAGCTTAATTATCCAACTTTCACACCAGCAGATGAAGTTCAAACCTTAGGGATTTACAGTAAATCATTTGGAAACAGAATTATGATTGAGTTCCACTTAGCTGTTTTAAATTCAGGTGTTTCTGGTAATAAATGCTATTTTCCTGGCGTCCAAATATTACATTATACTACAAATTGTACAATTGCAGAAGGGTGCAGAAAGATGAGAATCTAAATGGTGGAAAACAATGTGTAGAACATGATGAAAAAATGATATTTTCCCTTTGTTTTGTTGTCATTGCCATACTGTACTTCCTGAAATGTCCTTCTTTTTATTCAGAGAATTCCTCTTCTAATTCAGCGTCCTCAAATCCAGACCACTATGCCTGACTTCACTTGCCTGCGGTAAACATTTACTGTATTTTCTGAAGCAATTTGTTTGTGCTGTTTTTAGAAAAGAGACCATCGTTGGGAAGTTCCTTCGCAAGCTTCCAGATCCCGACACAGAGAGATCCCGGGCTGCGTATCAGGAGGAAATCAGGATCAGAGGATCAGAATGAGGAGAGCAAAGAAAACGTTGACAACAGTGCTGGATGTGATCTAGAGAAACGGCACTCCCATGCCTCAAATGGAGACATGGACATCCCATAAAAACATGAATTCAGAGGCTACGTAGGTTTCTGAAAAGGATGGTACGAGATTAAAACAGTGAAACATCTGCACTTAAAACTGAATTAACTACCAAAAGTACTACTGTTCCTATTAAATGTTGAATTTACTGACTTCATATCACAGAAAGGAACCCTTTTTTAACATTTTAGCAAGAAGATGCATTTGCATAAGCAACTAATTCTTTGAATGCAGCCTGTGTGAGGCCTGTTCGGGACATAAACCATACCTCAGTGCAAAAAACATGAGCTGTAAGCAAGATCCTGAAATAACTAATTAAGTTGTGAAGTTTAAAGGCTAATACTTACATACAATACAAGGAAGCTCATCTGTTTAACTCTGTAATATAGACACATAACAACATTTCATTTTTAAATGTGGATTTTTTTGGAGTGGAAGGCAGCTTGACTTTTTTACGCAAAAAGTTGGATCAGTATTAGAGTTTTCAGTCGATGAATATCACTCCTGATAAACAGGAAAGAGTGAGAGAGAGAGCAGCTCTCATTGAACTTCCTGTTTCTGTTGTCGGTTAACATAATTGTAAATAAAAGAGTGAATTGATTCCTTAACCTGATTTCTGGCTGTATCTTTACTGTTGAAATAAATAAAATCTCAATTGATACAATATTTATACTATGAAAATCTTAAATAAATCATATTTATATGTTTGAAATGGTTTCATTTGTTTTACCAAGGCCACACTATGGAACAAGATGAAACCCACACTGCTGAATTTGCAAACTGCACGTCCGCTTGAGTTTGAATTTGTGTCAGTCATTTTTTCAGTGTCAAAATGTGTCATCGCTGACTGCTCCCACTGAAAAAGCGTTTGGGTATGAGTAGGCCATATACTGTATCTATACAGGAGTGAACAGAGACATCCTCTGACAAACAGAGCAAACTGCATGTAGGCTGGAAGCATTCTTAACTCAATAACTGCTTTCAAAAATCTCATTCTTTATACACTTTAGGTCTAATAGTTTCATGGATTGGTAATTACAGAATTTTCTTTTTTAGTGTCCAATTTACACTTAGCTTGAAACAATTATATTATGCAGTTTTAAGAGGATTTCACAAGAGTAACATGTAAATCATGAAATAAATACAGACAATAAATGCATAACAAAAACAAAAAAAGTATTGGAAACGTTTATCTATAGACAGGAGGAGACTTTTTAACACGTTTTTTAAATAAAAAAACTATTGGATTAAGAAATGTTTGTCCTATATATTAATCATGATATAAATAAAGTGAAGTCATTTTTTCATCATTTAGAAAAAAACACACTTGCTGGAAGATGTAATCCTGCAGATATGATTAAAACCAAATAAAAAATGCCCATGCCCATTTTACAGAAACAACAGTGCATATTAGTGTTAACACATGTTTCAGACCTTGACTCCCCAGAAAGCGGTTTGTTGGATCTACTGTGTCCGAATGTGTGTGTTTGCGTGTGTCCTGGCATGTGACGATGGAGGAGGAGGAGAGGGGGGGAGTGAAGCAAAGCAAAGCTAGGAACAACAACGAGAGAGTCGGGGAGGGATTATCAGTTCACTATGCTTATCTGCATGTGATATGCTAGTAAGCAAAAGTGTCCAAAGTGTTTTTCTGCTCAGCGGTTTGTCAGCCACATGAAGGCCTGAGTCAATCTAAGTTTGAGTTAGCAGACTGACGTTAGCTCCTGCTGCTAGCCTGGACTTCATATCACTTGTCAACAGCCGATCGATCCTGGACGGGACTGCTTTCGCTCACATTTTATTTTCGGCCTGTTAGGTAACTCCACGTAGCGTGAAAGTCTTCTCAACCAGCAGCACTATTGGGAGAGGTAAGTAAGCTAACTTGGCAAGCATGCTAACGTTATTTAAAGCCACTCACGGGAATGTGGGTCAGCCACGCTAACAGCTAGTAGTAGTCAGCATTCAAGGTTAGCAGCTAACTAGCTAAGTGAGCTAGCCGTGCCGACTCTCTTCGACGGCCGACTGACAACCTAAAGCTGTTATATATATATATACTTATTCTAAATAAAAACGCTTGACGGCAACCGTGTTGATAACTTTGCCGTCTTTCATTCTTTTAATGTGTGTATCCAGTTACAGTCCTGTCATTAACAGGGCTGTTGCCAGATATTTCCCAGAACTAGTGTGACAGGTTGTCTGTGGGACGACGAGTCTTAACAGTCCCGGTCTGAGGTGTCCGGACCTGTTGCATACACCTTAACACAGTTCGGACTCTGTCCTGCTATGGGACATATTGTAATAATAATATTAAGTCGGAAAACATTAATACAACTGTTGTAATAAATAGAGGCTGTGTGTTTGTCAGGGCACATCTACTAACTACATGGACGGATTAATCCACTAGGGGGCCGCGGGGCAAATATTTAACCCCCAAGCCCTGTCCCTTACTGCCGCCCTCCACCAGCGATCAACACTGCTCAGTGTGTACATAGTGCATCCACCGGTCCCCTTAAGCACCCACCAAGTACACTGTGTGCACCCTGCCTTATCTACCCGATCTAAGGCAAACAATAATACAGATGTCTCCCAAAGTTGACTTTTTAAGATAGTAAAGAACACACTGTTTTTAAGCATAGCCTACATTATTCCCTATATCTAGCTGTTAGGACTCGAGAGTTGTAGGCCCTTTATGCTCATTAATTTGGGGCTCTTATTTGATTATTGGCCTGCATTTTTATTTAATGTAAAATTGTAACCTCTTTGAAATTAATTAAGAGTTGGGTGTTAGCAGTCGCTTTCACATATGCTGCATTCAAATGCTCCTCCGGAGGTCTCGTTTCCAGTGTTGGGAATGTGTTCAAATGGGATGTATTGTATGTCCTTATTTAGAGCATATTTACAAGAGGTTTATATAATGTTTACATTGCTTACATCTCATTGCTGACCCAGAGATAATGCTGCACTTATACATTCACTAATGGCGCGTTTCCACTGCAGCGGGGTAGCCCCGTTTAAGCGTCCCTAAGCGTCCTCGCTCTGGCCTCGGGCTGCCTCGCTGGCCGGCCCAGGCCGTGAGGCATTTCCATTACAGTTTAGGACCTGGGGTAGCAACGCAGTGTAGGCGGAGCGATCGGCTTTGTTTTTGTTCACATTTCTCGTTGTTCCGTCGAGCTCCCGCTGGATTTGATCATCCCCAATGAGATGTAGGAACGTCGTCACCTCCTCGGTCGACCACGGTGTGCTTTTCTTAGAAGTAGCCATTTTTGTAGCTCCTCCGTTTACAAAATGCTGTGTATAAAAATGCAGCAAGCTTGCTTCTAGATATATATGCGACGCTAGGGATGAACTCGCGCGCAATCTTGTGACGATTCTCTCTGACCAATCAGCAGTCGAGAGTGTTGACGTCACTAGTTCAGCCCTGGCTCTGGTCTGAGGGAACCACGATTTTATGAGGCCGGAAAAAGAGGGAAAAAGTACCCGCTGGCCGGTACTAGGCTATATGGAAACGCCACCAAAAACCGGCCTGGCCGCTTGAGGACGGTTAAGGACGCTTAAACGGGGCTACCCGCTGCAGTGGAAACGCGCCATAAGACCACTAAAACATTGCCTCTTTACCTAGACTTGTTGTCAACATTAATGCTAATAAATAACTTTTCGTGAACGCCAACTAATAGTTACTAACCACATAATACAAATTATTTGTCTCCAAAAAACAGATCATTTGACAACAATTTAGTTTCTTTAGGAGCAGTGTAAGAAAAAAGGAAGCCCTGAGCCCAGAATATTGTACCTTGCCCACAAAGGTCGCTGACCCAGATTGTTATGTAGCAAACCACATGTGAGCAAAAACTTGATGTGCAATATTTAATTAATACCGACTGAAAGAACAATACTTTTAATGACATCACCTTTGACTAAGAGTAACTGGGATGGACCTTCTGACATTTGAGACCAAACAATTAATCTAGAAAATATTCAGCAGATCAATCAATAATGAAAGTACTTAGTTGCAGCCCGAGTTGCAAGTTTGTTTTCAAACTAAATTGTTGGCTGTTAATGGTCTGAGGTCACTGCTTGTCTGTTCCACTTGGCTGGTGGATAATCCAGGCATGCCTACACAGCGTGTGTATATCATGTCATAAGCCTATTACTATCAAGGATATTCCCTTGCTGCTCAAACACAACCAGTAGTATGGATTGACTCGGAAAGCGATGCCTAAATAAACACACTGTGGAAGATCAGTGGGACCATTTATTTCAGTTACACTAAAAGTAAATAGCCACACTTTGTAAATTCATTTTAACCAGTGTGATTTGATGAAAAAGGGACATAATGGGAACATTTGGCCATGTAACATGTTACAACAAGCTTAACGCTCCCATTTGGTGAGAGAGTATTCACTGAAGTAGGACAGTTAACCACTCCCATGCTGGATCTATATATGATGTGTCGACTAACAGTGATGGCGTGATTGTTCTTGCTCTGAATGTAATCCTCATTTTAAGCATACATTGTTGATTTTAATGTTGCCTATTTATTCTATTTTTCAATAGTGGAACTATGATGGCAACGTGACAGGAGGGGACCCGCTGAGTCAGCTTAAACAGTAACCATGGAAGGTAGAGAGCAGCACGAGAGGGTGAATGGCCATCGCAAGTCCAAATCCCTGCAGGACACGGCCGATGGCAGGTGGTCACCTATGGAGGGAGAGTCTGGAGGTTCAGACAGCTGTGGGGGGAAAAGTGTCTCGGAGCCGATAGACATGCAAGAGTTAAAGGCCAGGGAAAGGGAAGATGAGGAGGACAAGAAGGAGAGGGATGTAGTTTCTCCTTCTAAAGGCCTGAAAGGGGACCAGAAGAAAAAAGATTGTCCGGATCAGGAGAACAAACGCAGCAAGCAAAACAGCAGTGCCGCATCCAACTACACAGGTAAGACTTTTCAAAATCCCATGACCTGCCCTCTGTAAAATAAATGGAACTTGACATAAGGAGAGGACAAAGCCTTAATATTCATGCATTTCTCTCCATGCAGACCTGTCCCATACCTCGTCGCCCTCGCTGTCAGAACAGCTACGTCTCGGCCAAGAAGACAGCACAGGGTCTGGGATCAGCGTGGAGTGTAAGGTCTGCGGGGACAAGGCCTCCGGCTTTCATTATGGTGTGCATGCCTGTGAGGGTTGCAAGGTAATATTGCAGAATAGATAAGTGACAATACAAAGTTCAATAACAGCAGTTTTGTCTTGTCCAATATGATTTGCTGAACCGGTTGCTTTGTTTCAAACTCAGGGTTTTTTCCGGAGAACTGTGCGGATGAAACTGGAATATGATCGCTGTGAGCGTTCCTGCAGGATTCAGAAAAAGAATCGTAACAAGTGCCAATATTGTCGCTTCCAGAAGTGCCTGTCTTTGGGAATGTCCCATGATGGTGAGAGGAAAACAAAAATTAGCTAATTATTCTATAAACAAGGACATGTTAATATAAAGTGTTATAGCAAAAAGAAATGTACAAATCAAAGACTTGGAAATGTAATCTGCTCATTTATTCAAATGTATTCTTATTGAATCTTTTCACGTTTTATTTTGTCTGTTTCGGGGGTGTAGAAAGTTGTTTTCAAG